GGGCTCTGGGGGACTCTGAGTAGTGGGATGTAGGGTGTGCAGTAAGGGTGAATGTGGGTGGTCAGTGGCTTCCTTTTTTCTACCGTTTCTCCTTTTGTGAGGTCTTCTTATTTCCCTGTGGCTTTTAGTTCTTCTGTGCCTATTTTTAACGCCCCTTCTGCTAACATCCTTCTAGAAAGATCCTAAAGCCCCTTCACCCAGAGGTATGACTGGTACCAGCTTCCTGAATTAGCTCCTGGGAAGGCAGCCTTAGAGGTGCTTCTGCCAGAGTGGCCTTGTCGGGAGGGCTCTTACTGATATCTTCTTCTGCACTGTTTGAGTTTTCCTTGTATGATGGAGGGGAACGAGGCGGAGAGGAACGGACATCCTTTCCACGACACCTGTTAAGAGCCTGCCATGTCCAGGAGCTTGTTGACTTTTTTTGCACACGGCAGTACTACTTCTGTGTCTTTAGCACGAGGGTCTCTGGTCCCTCTCCCTCACCCTCACCCGCTGGGCCCAAGCTCAGATATCTCTTTCCCTGTTTATGGGCCTTTGGGATTTTTCCAACAACCTGAAATGAATCTGCGAGGCCCCACAGGTAGTGCAGCCCGTCCTGGGGCCATAAACCATGGCCGGGTCTTTCATCTGTGCTCACTCATGTCATGAAGGGGTGGGAGGGCCGGGCAATGGGGAAGTAACAGCCCTGAACCACTCCACATTTTTTTTTTTTTTTACAAGAAAGGGGAAAGAAAGGCCTTGAGAAACATGTTCAGACTTTGTGCCCAGCAGATTCATTTCACTCTGGGAGGCTGTGCGTGGAGACTTAATCTCTGGACTTCCCTACTAGGAGTCAGATTTATGCTGTGTTTGTGTCTAAATGGCCTCCAGGGATGCTGACATTTGTTGTGGGAGACAGCGAGTGGTGCTCCTTTCATCTCTGCTGAGGGGTGTCAGTTTAAATTACGAGGGCTCCCCGGCCCGCATCTGGGCGTAGGAACCTCTGGCGAGCAGAGAGGGGCCGCCGCTGCCTCCGTCCCCAGCCTGGCTGTTGGAAGGCGTTTCTACCTCTGCTCTCCGGTGTGCCCGCTGGCCTGGGACAATCCTCCTGCTCACTGAGATCCTTCCTTTCTCTTGGACAAACTGATGCCATGAATTTTGGGCACTACAGATGTCCATGGGGACGTCGGGACTGGAGGCCCGCAGTTCTGCTCTCGTGACAGAGCAGGACGGCGCCTCAGTGAACATCCCAGGAGCAGCCTGGGAACTTGCTCAGGGAGTCAGAGGCTGCTGTTAGCCCTTAAGACCTACAACACGGCAGATAGAACCCAGGTGAAGGCGACAGATGATCTGCATGCCCCTTGGCCGTGGGTGGTGGTATCTGTCTGCACTTTGAGAGGTGCCAAGTTCCCCTCCATCCCTCCATCCACAGAATCCCTCCCTCTCTCTGATCTGCCAGGACCCCTGAAATTCCATATTAGTGACTATGGTTGGAAGCATTTTGTGTTCAATGTATATATGTTTTTGATGACGAGAACACATCATACCCTGCTGACCACTGACCGCTTGGTGTCAGTCAGCTGTTCGTCCTGCCCAAGCCAGAGCCTGAGAGGATGGGACTCAGGCCACTCAAGCTTTGACAGAGGCCAGGAGGCCAGGAGGGGTTGAGAGCAGAGCTCAGTAAACTATGGCATGCCAGCCTGATTTGGCCTGGCACTTGTTTCTGAAATACAGTTTTTCTGGAACACAGCCATGCCCACCTGGACTGTCTGTGACTGCTTTTGCCCTGTGATGGCAAAGTTGAGGCCACAAGGCCTGCAAAGAGTATAGTCTTTACACTCTGGCCTTTTATGTAAAGAGTTTACGGACTCCTGGTCTAGAGTATGAAGTGCTCCTTGGAAGGCAAAATGGGGAACATGAGAAGACAGGAGAGAGGGAGATTGCCTTGCAGAGAGGATTCAGAGAGGGAAAATGCACCTCAGAAGCCATGAGAACACTCCAGAGACAAATCTTAATCTTGCCCTGCCTCCCCTCCCCGTCTGCCCCCCAACCCCCTCTCCTTCCTTTCCTGAAAACGTGCTTTCAGTGCCCTCTTCTACAGGGATGTGGAAGGACTGAACAAGCAGTCACCTGTGGTCCTCTGTGCATCCTCCAGAAATGGGTGCCCAGGGGGAGCCTTCCCCTCCTCTGTTCCATAAGGGGATAGCAGTTCTAGGGGCATGTGCGAGTGTCCCAGGCAAGGGTGGGCACAGTGACCGCAGAGGAGGAAGACACCAGGGCCTCAGCCACCCTGCCTCGGGGGCTCTGAGCAAACTACAGTCACACCTTCATTCTGCAGCCAGTCCCAGGGCCTGACCCCTGGTTCTCTTCCCTCTCAAAAGCACTGACCCTCTCCCATTCCACCTGCTCTCAGGGTTGGCTAGGGTCACATCTGCAAAAGGAGTGGATGCTTGCTCTGTAAAACCTTAACTCCGACTCCCCCCCAACATGCAACTATTATGAACAGAAAACATGTCTCAGATCAAGAATACTTTTATGTTGAAATAATAATGACAATGATTGCTAAGCACCTATCATATTCCAGACAGTGCACCTTACATGTGTCATATTATTTAATTCCAACAACATGGTTACTTTTCCTGATGAGAAAATTGAGTCTTCAGAATTTACCCAAAATCACACACAATAACTGGCAGAGCCAGAATTTAAACCTGAGTTCGTATGACATCCTGCCCCAAGCCCCTGCTCACGGATACCACATGGATTTCCTGAATGGCATCACATCTAGGGCCATCACTGGGGAATCTGGTATTATTTTAGACTTTACATTTCCATGAGTTCCATTAGCCTAGTTAACCGTATGCATTTACATCAAACTTTGTGAGGAATGCATATAAAAGAATCAGAATGACTTCATAAGACATTTTGAAAATACCCTTTTATGGACCAAACTGGTATAAGACTTGCAGTTTCTGAATCCATATAAATGCATGTTAGAACATAATCTGTTTTGGGGCTGTTCGCTCACTCATTTCAGACTTGGCCCCTTCTAGTCACCCATCTTGCAGATCTGCATAATCCTTGGAAGGGCCATTCCCATTTCCTCAGAAAGGCCACTGAAGGCATCACCAGTGGATGGCATTATTGGCCTCACCAGAGACGGGCTCTGGGGGACTCTGAGTAGTGGGATGTAGGGTGTGCAGTAAGGGTGAATGTGGGTGGTCAGTGGCTTCCTTTTTTCTACCGTTTCTCCTTTTGTGAGGTCTTCTTATTTCCCTGTGGCTTTTAGTTCTTCTGTGCCTATTTTTAACGCCCCTTCTGCTAACATCCTTCTAGAAAGATCCTAAAGCCCCTTCACCCAGAGGTATGACTGGTACCAGCTTCCTGAATTAGCTCCTGGGAAGGCAGCCTTAGAGGTGCTTCTGCCAGAGTGGCCTTGTCGGGAGGGCTCTTACTGATATCTTCTTCTGCACTGTTTGAGTTTTCCTTGTATGATGGAGGGGAACGAGGCGGAGAGGAACGGACATCCTTTCCACGACACCTGTTAAGAGCCTGCCATGTCCAGGAGCTTGTTGACTTTTTTTGCACACGGCAGTACTACTTCTGTGTCCCCCACTGGGTGGGCGTTATGGCCACCAGAGTGCCGATGGGGAAACTGAGGCCCAGGGCCTGCGGTGACTCGCATAGGGCAGAGCTGGGTGGGGACCCAGGTCTGCCTACATCAGACCCTGTTCAGCGGCATCGAAGGGCTCCCGCCCCAGAGAGACCCACGGGTCAGTGTTCCTTCATGGTCAGTTCATGCCTGAATGTCCACAGAGAGAAGCAGTGCTGTCCTTTCAGATAACATGAGGAATTTTTGGCTCTGGCAGAGCCAAGAATCAGAACTGAACTGAAGTCTACGCTAAAATGGCACATGCACCCAAGCTTCCTTTACAGAGGAGGGCGGGATGAAGGACAAGACGATGTCGCTCACATACAGCGGGTCCCCTCATCCTGGGTTTCCTGAAGTGGGCAGAAGGGGACCAGAATCCGAGGACCAGAGCTGGGGAAGCTCTTGGGGCAGAGTCTTCCACTGGCGGAAAGAGGACGGCTGAGCTCTGTGAGACAGGAAGTCAGGGTGATTTGGACACACAACCGCCTGCGGATTTTAATGCCCAAAGTAGAAAGAAGTGTCTCTCACACAGGGTTTCTCAGGCCTAGAAGCATCTCATGGGTGTGAAGTCCAGGGATGCGAGAGGCAACCCAGGAAAGAATGTGATATAAACTGGAGGCTTTCTTCCTTCAAAAGGCATTCCTTGAATTGACCACTGCTTATAGGGCTGAAGCAATCACATAAATATAAACAAACAGTTATTTTAATGGAGAGTTGTTTATTTTATAGATGAGCAATTCTGATTAATTACCCATGTTGTCTTTCCATTCTCAGCTATCCATACCTGCAGGTAATGGAATGCTGGTTCCTCTATGGCCTTTTGAGCCCGAACACTTCCTACCACCTGGCAGTGGCTAGAACTTCAGGCACAGCATCGAGGGAGTTATACCTGACTCCTCCAGGTCCAGACGTGAAACATGACTTCTAGGAACTAATATTAATAACCACCAGCGCTGGTGGGGCGTTCATTATCAGAATCACGTAGCATTCTGAGTGCCTTGCCGGTACGCCCATTCAGGCCTAACACGGCCCAGTGAAGTAGGTTGTCCTCTATCCCGATTTTGCTGATGAGGAAATTGACTCACAGAGAATTAAGGGACCTGTGCAAGGTCACAGAGCTAGCAGAGTGGAGCTCAGACACCATCCTGGGAGAAAGTCCTGACCTCTAGCGTGGAGTTTCTGGTTCCTATCTCTGAACTTTAGAAGTGTTTTCTTTAGCCCCTTCTTGGAGGCTTTCAAACCAATACCACACGGGTAATTAATTGCACACACAGCTATAAAGGCATCCTGGGAATGTGGGCCTGAGTGCCTTCTTGTGGAATAACCTAGAGCTCCAGCAACTCAACTCATTGTTTCCTGCTGCTTTTAGGCAAAAGTGATGATGAAGAAAGTATTTGCAAGTCAGCCCATGGAACTGGGAAGGGAAGTGCTGAGGACGGCAAGGACCACAAGCGCCCCAAGCGCCCCAGAACCATCTTGACGACCCAACAGAGGAGAGCATTCAAGGCCTCGTTTGAAGTGTCCTCCAAGCCGTGCAGGAAGGTACAGGAGGGGCGGAAGGAGGAAAGGGCCCTGGGCTCCACTTGTCTGTGTGCACCCTGGCCTCCTCTGGGGTGTCGGTGGACACCTGGGGCTGGGAGTGGGAGAGGCTGCTCAGAAAGAGTCTGTGCAGGTGGCCTTGGGCCGCGGTAGAGACCCTGGGGATCCCTAATGTTGTGGTCATGAGTATAACAGAACCTGCCAGGGCTTTTGTGTGTGCATCTACCCAGTCCGTTTGGCTGCCCACTCCTACCTTTCGGTTTTTGAAGAAAAATGGATAATATAATAAGAGGTGCTAGCGGGGGCATAGACTGAGACGCGGTGACAGTACAATACCACGGCTCTTAGAACGTGCTCTTTTGTCTAACTTGTCCTGCTTGGGGTGGTGCTTTTGGGATTCATCCTCATTGGGATTCATCTCTTTCTGAGGATGAATGGTGTTCTGCAGAACAGATGTGCTGAGGTTTGTTTCTTCACTCGCCTGTCCATGGCCGTTTGGGTTGTTTCCAGTTTTGGGCAATCACAGATCAGGCTGTTGTGAACTCTTATAAATAAAAAAATAACTATAGAGAGAGGAGTTTATGTCACTCATATCACAGTCCAGAGGTGAGCAATCCAAGACTGGCAGGGCAGCTCTGTTACCCATCACGTGGGTCCAAGGGGCCATTGCAGTTGTCACCATGTTTTCAAGCCACCGCGGTGGGGAAGGAGGAAGTGGAGGGCAAGCAGCTGCCTTTTTTAGGACTTACCCAGAAGACATATCATTTCTATTCATTTGTGTTGGCCAGAATTTAATCCTATGATTTCACCTCCTGCAATGGAGGCTAGAAATGAGTCTGTCTGGGTGACCACATGCCCTGCTGAAGTGTGGGGATTTGACTGCTAATAGGAAGGAGAGAATGGACATTGGGGACAATTAGCAGCCTTTGCTATAAATAGCTGCATCCATTTGTTAAATACCAGCTACTTATCAACTGCCTGCATACTATCATTTATGCAATAAAAATAAGAAACGAAATCTTTCTTATGGAAATTCATGGAGGAAGTACAATTTAGCATTGCTTTTTCTTGCATCCCTATCTGTATTAGTCAGCTTTTGCTGCAATAATGAACAAAATCTTAAGGGCTCCCCACAAATGTTAATTTCCTGCTCCTGGTTGGTAAATTGGCTGTGGCCCAACTGAGCTCAGGGTCAGGACTGCTCCACCTGTTTCTCATTCCTCCAGGCTACCAGTGGGAGGGGATGGGTGTGCACAGAAGCATAACACCCAGGGAGAAAGCTCTGAGGACTGTAACACAGGGGCAGCCAGGAGCTGTGGGAGCCCCCAGCAGGGAATGGCCACTTCTGTCCAGGCAATCAGGCAATGCTTTGTGAAACAGGTGGCTTCTGAGCTGGGTCTCTGCAGGATGGATAGGGTTTCAGCAGGTGGAGGTGGGCCCCAGGGCACATTGCTATTTTAGTTGGCTTAGCAGGAGGATATGTTTTAAAAATCTGGTTTAATCATCCCATTTGTCCTAAGCCTCAGCCAAGTGGCATGATAAAGGGGAAGTACTTCCCAAGGCCTCCACTTAGCTCTACTGTTTATCCAAGGAGTCTCTCAGTCCCATTTCCTCCCCAGAATCCCACCAAAATGGGCAGTGGCTCTTAGACCCACTCTTGGGAAGGCTGTGTTCCTTGCCTCTTCCCTTCTTGCCACCTTGCCAGCCCCTCAGCATGTGCCTGTATGGAAGGCAGGTGTTTAAACACATCCCTTTGTAACAGGGGATCCCAAATGCACTCCTTCTGCACGGCCACGGTGAGCGTGCCTGCGTCAGAGCCGTGTGCCTTGCTCTCCTGGATTCCAGGTGGCTCCTGCCTTATCTCTTCAAGCAGAGGCTCACTCCAGCGAACAGTGAATATGAATACTCATGAAACACCCAAAGTCACCTAGAGCTGTGAGGAGCAAAGCCAAAAATTTAGGTCAGTGCATTTAGACAAGGAGAAGAGAGCCATTCGGTTTTGCGAAGTGATTTTCACCCTCAGCTCTCTGTAAGCGGATGAATGCATGTGCATGGCGTGCAGCTAAAGCAGAGGTGGATTGTGCTAATATTCAAGAATCATTTGGAGGCCTGATTTCCAGACTAAGAGAAACCCAGAAACACCTCTTGGAATGCACATCTAAATTAATAATCATTCCTCTTTGTTTACCTGGGGATGACCCTCTCTCCACCTGAAGGGAAGTGATGTTCGTGTGTTCGGGATTCTGCTGGACACTGAACAGGACCTAGATCGTGTTTAAGGTGTGGCCAGTTGGTCTCCTACTCTGAGATGCCAGTGTATGTCTGTATTTCTGATGTTTGATTTTTTTTCAAGGTAAGGGAGACCCTGGCTGCAGAGACAGGGCTGAGTGTCCGGGTCGTCCAGGTGTGGTTCCAGAACCAGAGAGCTAAGGTAATCTGCATCCGGCTTCTGTCTCTGTGTGGCTGGTTTCCTGAAATAACAGCAGCAGGACCTTCTTCTTGCTGGTGGGTTTGGTACCCTGAACTCACTGGGTGAAGCAGTTCTCTTGGTCCAAAAATTCTATGAGTGATCATCTTAGCCACAGCAGAAGGGGAGAGGCAGTGCATCTGTTCTAGGGCAATGGCTCTTGTTTTCCTAGTGGTCAGCTGTCTGTGTAAATAAATGTCTTTCAGTATCTTCTGATAAATATAGGGCCTTTAATTCACATTCATTTAACCCAGATACCAAAGTTCTTTAAAAATCTCAAAGAGAAACTTGCATAGCACACAGATGACTGGTCTAAGATGACATTGTGGCACAGTGGGATGAATGCTTTGACTCATCTTTCCCTGGGGCCCCTGGCCCCCATGTAGACCCAAACCCTCATACTGTCCTCTGAAGCCTACCAAAGTGTGTATTGCTCTGCCATGGTCTTGTATTTGTTAGTCCTTTTGCTCATTTATTTTCCTACTCCTAAAAATGAATGTGTCCTCTGACCCATCTCTAGGGCCCTAATCTTTAGTGGGCGATAAGTCCATATCTCATGATCTGATCATGATTGTTTAAGGTTGCATTTCCCTAACTGAGTTCCCAGATCAGGGCCGCTAATGTGTATTCCATTATGAAGGGACTCCCTGGTTCCCTAGGTGTGGGAGGCCCTGTGGTCTGTGGACTCACAAAGCAGAGGAGTTTTCAGCTCTGAGAAATCATGCAGTAAAGAAAGCTTTGTTTGAAGCCTAGTGATTCTTGACCCGCCCCCAACACACATAAACAGACATATTCAAAGTCTGTATTAACATCTGTTGGAACCCTAGCGTTCCGCAGAACACAGTCTGAGAAACGTTGGGTTAAGATGGTCGTTCCAGGACATTTCTGTGTTAACAGCATTTTGGGGACAAGCCCCTTACCTGGGGGTGGGGGTGGGGCGTGGGCTGGGCGCATGCGCACGGGCGCCTTTCCTGTGTAAGCTCTCGGCCCGGCCCTCCCTCCTCTGTGCACCTGCCGCAGCCCAGCGGTCTGACCCTGCGGTCGTCTCCCTACCAGGTGAAGAAGCTGGCCCGGCGGCAACAGCAGCAGGAACAGCAGGGCGGCCGGAGGCTGAGCCCGGGTAAGGCCCGTACCCAGAACCCCCGCTGGCCGGGGCCCCAGTGCCTGCCCCTCCCCCGGTCCCCACTGCAGGGGCCACAGTGCCTGGCCCACCACCCTCTGGGACCGCAGCGCCTGGCCCCTTGAATGGCATCCCTGGGCCCAGGGAAGCCCAGTCCACACCCGCATGGCCACAAGGAACTGGGAGAGGGTTGGAGGCCCTGACCCTGCTGCGGCCTCAGGGGGCCGTGTGCGGCTACTGCACAGTGCACACCGGCCCAGTTTCTCGCCCTGCCCTCCCCAAATCAGTTCAGCAGGGGACACCACCGGGACTTGCCCTCTCGGGAACCACACAGAACTGCTGGCAGGAAAGCGGTAACCCTCCTGCAGGGCACTGGGCATCCCCAGAGCTCCCACGTGCTGACCCGACTCTCACCAGCCCTCTCCCACCCCGAGGTGATGTGACTGAGCAGAGACGCCAGTGACCCCCGCCTCCCCAGATGAGCACACAAAGCCTCTGCAAGACCGAGCGTGACCCCGAAGAGCAAGGGATGGGCCCCTAACCCACCGCCACCGGCACGTTCCTTCATTTGGTGCTGTGCTGTTTCTAATAGGCGTGGGGGGAGGATTGGGTGGCAGTAAAAAGGGACCGATTGTGGGATCCTCCAAGGAAGTTAAAAGAAAAAAATAAAAAATAAATGAACTAGAACAATGCCATTTTTAAGGGACATGCCCCCCCAATGCAGCCATGCGGCGGAATCCCGAGTGGTCCATTTGCACCTGCACCTGGCCCAGGGGTTCCCACCCGTAGTGTGCACCCAAGTCCTCGGGCATTTGGTCAGGAAGGGCCATGCACGCTGGGCGAGAGAGGAGAACGTCCAGACATTAGGAGAACACCTTGCAAGAATGCAAACTGCTGGTGCTCGGATTCTGAAGAACTTAAAGAGCAGCTCCTAGGGCCCATGTATAAAAGTAGACGCTGGTGGAAAGGAGAGTTTCTGAGAGTCAGTGGAACCATGTTCAGGGAACCATGTGAGATGTGGAGGCAGGAACTGGGTCCTCCTTTTCTCAAGTTCTGTCTACAAGCACAGAAAGTTGCAGTTCACCGCACATGCACATGACCTCATAGTCTCCACGCTGGCTCCAGGAGGTTGGCCCGGCCAGTGCTGGGACTCCCCTTGACCCACAGGCTCCCAGTCTGGTGATGCTGGAAGGTTCTTCAGATTCACCACATCCAGCAGCTGCCAAACCTGCGTGCAGCATCAGCCGCCTTTATTTTAATGACACTTTTCAAGGAGGTGCTCCAAGCTCACCTGGCCACGCCCTGTCCTCCCAGGAGATCCTGACAGCCTTGGTAGGGCACAGGCGGGGACCACTGATGCCACCTTGTCCCTGACCACTTTATACATGAAGTCAAATGATCCGGTGTGGTCCCACCTCTTAGGGGGTTCCCGAGCCCCAGATGGCCCTGCGTCCTGCTGCCCCCTGGGGCTCGCTCCCGTGTGGACTCCCCTCACTCCTGAGTAGGGCGAACCTAGGGCGTGACTCCCGAGCCTCAGTCACAGGAGATGTGGTGCTTCTGGTTGGGGCTGTCTTGGACCACGTGATCCGAGGAAGCCGGCACCATGTTGTGAGGACACGAAAGCAGCCCTGTGGGGATCCACGTGCAGGGCAGCAGGGGGATCTCAGATGCAGCGCCCCTCGTCCAAGTCCAGGGCTCCCTGCCAGCACTCGCCTGCCTGCCCCCTCCTTTCTCCACGGAGCCATAGCAGAGGCTGGTGCTGGGCGGGCACGCCTGGCTGTGGGGGCCATGAAGGTCAGAAGATGCTCCGTGGTCCTCGCTCCCTGCGTGGGACGCTGGGCTGCACATGAAACATGGTCTGCCTTCTTCTTTGTCTCACAGCTCAGACAAATGGTGGTGGGAGTGCTGGGATGGAGGGCATCATGAACCCCTACACGGCTCTGCCCACCCCGCAGCAGCTTCTGGCCATTGAGCAGAGTGTCTACAGCTCCGATCCCTTCCGACAGGGCCTCACCCCACCCCAGATGCCTGGAGACCACATGCACCCCTACGGTAAGAGGGGCTCCGGCCCCACGGGGACCTCTCACAGCTTGCTTGGGTGCATTTCTCATTCCCTCCCAAACGCATCTGGGCCGTCCCTAGATGCTCGCTGCGGCTGCAGAGCAGACACGTGCGCCACACGGTCCTGCTAGAATCCCCTGACCACGGCTACAGGGGAGAGGCCAAGGCTTACTCCTCAGTGACATTCCCACTCATTCTCGTTTTCAGAGATGACTGTTAGTTTACAAAGAGGTAGTGTTCTCCTTGCAGACCTGTTTGTGGTGACTGAATTCCCCGGCTTTCGTTTGTGCCAGGGACCGCACCTTCGTAAGCAATATCAGCCGTGATACAGGCAGAGGCCTCAGTTAAGCAAACTGCTACATGGAGAAGGAACATCTATAGACGTGTAGGGAACACGTGGTCTAACTGGATTACCCCGCTGTGGATACTAGTTAGGTGCTCTAATGTAATTTCTAGAACATAAACTGAAATGTGAAGTGAAAAATACCTCCCCTCAACGCCCCGCCTGAGCTGGGGTTGCTCTAAATGCTGGTTCTAGGGATGGCTCAGCCTCCCACACATACCCAGCTTGCTGCTGACCTACTGTTCAAGTTCAATCTCAGGGCCAAATATAGATTGCATCTTTATACGGAGGAGGTCAGTGGGCCACGGAGCACATGCTAAGATGGTTTTTATTCAGCAAGCCTTCAAAACATTATTACCTTCAAAACAGAGATACATGCCTCAGCTTACAGATTTTGTTAAACAATTGCTTTTTTGCCTTCATTAGAAAAAAATCTGTTTATTGTTCAAGTAGACCCTATCTTTCCGTGTGATGTGAACAGCAGCACGATTAAGGTCTGGCCCTGTGCAGGAGTCCAGGCCAACTTCATGCACTTGTGTGTGCATAGATACACGGGCACACGTATGCGTGCTGAGTGCTGTCCATGCTGTCTGCCTCTCAGACACATGGAAAGTCTGTGCCCATGGTCCCTCCACAGAATTGGGAAAACAGGGCAAAGGACGTTTTTGCAAATACTCACATTTTCGGAGTCCTGGGAATCTTGTTACACAATGAGATGAATCCTTTAGTAAAATGGTCAGTGAGGGTCACGTGGCCATTTTCATAAGCTGTGGTTTTCTACTCTCCCATTTACTTGAAATGGAGGTAAAGCATACGTGCCTCTCTGTCTGGGGGCAGGAGCCCCCCACGCCGTAGCACAATTTTCTCTGCCAGCTTCTCTGTCAAGGTTGTGAATTAGCTGAGGGTGGGCACCCAAGCTCCTGTTCCTTTGCAGGACGCATCTGGGGCAATGGCAGGTGCTGGGTACTGAGATGCAGTTTGAAAGGACACGTTATCGCGGGAGGGTTCTGGAACCTCACTGGCAGAGCGCTAGTCTGGCACCCGCCCTTTTTTGCGCCGAGTCCTCTGGGAGCCCGGCACTGCCTCTCCAGCCTGCGTGCTGGGCCCTACCTGCTCCCCACATGCGCCGTCTAGACTGCGGACATTTGCACAGGCTGCCCTCCATTTAGCTTGGTCGCTGATTCATGTTGTCGTCAGTTGCTGCCCTGTCAGCACGGCCCCCCGGGGAGCCTGGAGAGCTGCTGTGGGCTGGGCTGGTGCCTCCTCCTCCTTTGGGTGTGGGTCTCCTGCTTGGCCTCCTTGCATCTGGTGGAAAAGCTTCACCGGGCCACATACTCAGACCACCCTGGTTGAAGCCCCTGCACGTTCCAGCTGTGAAGTGGGTCACCTGTGCCCGACCCTCATGCCAGCATTTCATCTCCATTTCAGGTGCTGAGCCCCTTTTCCACGACCTGGATAGTGACGACACTTCCCTCAGTAACCTGGGTGACTGTTTCCTAGCAACCTCAGAAGCCGGGCCCCTGCAGCCCAGAGTGGGAAACCCCATTGACCACCTCTACTCCATGCAGAATTCGTACTTCACCTCTTGAGTCTTCCCCAAGAGTGCTGTGGCTGGGCCTCTGTGTGGAACAACCCTGTTGCATGAGGGGCGGCTGGCTTTAGGACGGGGAGGTCAGGGAGGAGGGAGGTGGGGGCAGGAATGCTGTTGTGCAACCATACGGTGTAGTTCGGCATTTCCAAAGACTGAACGCATTATGAAGTGCATAGTTTAATGTTTCTAATAAGAGTCTTAGTGTTAGGTATGAAGATGTGTTTATCACTGAGGACAGAGATTTTAATATTCTCTTGTAAACTAGATAACTAGAGACCCCAACAGCTTCCCACCGTTTGGAGGAGGCTCTTGTTAAGAGGTGCATATGTCTACCCGTCCATATATCCATAGACAGACAGACAGACCGACGTGTGCGTGAGTGTGTAACCATTCATACTTTGTCATCAAAGTTTATTCCTCACCGTAACAGGCACCAAACTGTACAGCAAAAGTAACTTTATTTTCAGTGTGAACTATATTTAAGGAAATGCTTGATGCACTTAAGTTATAAAATGAGATGATTTACTTTTAGAAACTTTATTTTTAGTGTGAAGAGAGTTGTCTACAGGGCATGGAGGGCTGCTCCACCTCCGCCGGTAGCGCTGAGGACTTGAGCTAATTTTGTTTTTGGAGAGTGTGGCCGGCAGCGTTCTCGTCGGGGCTCACTCCCCCTGGGGTTGGATCCCTGGGCTCGGGTGGGGCAGAACAACCCCCGGTCATGGTCTCAGAAAATGCAAAGCCTACGTTTTGGCTTTCTTTTAAATTCTGACACGGGCTTGGCGGGCTGCACTAGGAAAGTCAGTTCTACTGTGGACCTTAAGCATCTGTGAGTGTGGAATGAGGCTCATCATATGTACCTACCTCACTTGGGGGACCCCGAGGCTGAATTCACACCTGGACACATGAGCGGGACTGAGACTAAGAGCTGGTGCTTGCTTCAAACACACACAGACCAGTCACTGGGCAAAGGAGAAGCAGGGCTGCAGAGCAGAAGGGCTCCTTGCGCCGAGGCTGGAGGGCAGCTCTACCCACCGCGGTGCCTTCTGCAAAGCCTGGGCTGCAGATTATAGCCCGGGAGAGCTCAGGGGGTGTTGGAGGCCTTCGGTGGGGAGGAGGCGATGGGGGAGGGCACCATGGTGGTCCAGACCACCAGGGCTTGGCAAACTACAGCCTGCAGGCCTGTGTTTTATGGCCTGCCAGCTAAGAATGGTTTTCTACATTTTTAAGGGTTGTAAAAAATGGAAAAGAACAGAAGCATATGTGACAGAGTGTATGTGGCCCTGGAAGCCTGAAATATTTACTATCCATACTGTCTGGCTCTTCTCATAAAAGGTTTGTGGGCTCCTGTTCTACAGGGTCTGCTTCTAAACGGCCTCCTGGAGCTCGTAGAGGCGGAGGGACTCCAGGTGGAACCCCAGGCCTGCTCCTTCCAGTCTGCTTTGCTGACCTTGAGCACGGAAACCCAGCTGCCATTGCACACAGGGACGGTCCCCCACCCTGGTCTCCACTGTGGTGCTAGGACAGGCTCCTTCTGTGCTGGGAGCTCCTGTCGGGAAGCGGAGCTGGCAGGGAAGGCGGAGGCCAGCCTGGACTCTCTGCGGGCGGCTCGGGCTCAGCCTCACCCCTGGAGTGTCTTTGGCTTCAGAGTCCCGGACGCAGAGGCCCTTCCCCTCTCACTCCCCGCAAAACCAGAGGGAGCACCCCTCCCATGGTAGGGTCTGCATTGTGTGATTTCTGTGCTCTTGTTTATAACTTGTGCAAACCACCAAGACACCCAGACCAGTCTGGTGAGTGAAAACTGTGCAGTGCCATGTGGCTCTGCAAGCTGCCGAGCTAAAGGCCATTGGAGAATGAACACAGCAGATATTATGTGAGTGAGCACCATAGAGCCCCTTCTTCCTCTCCTTAATGGCGTGCCAAGATGAAATTAAAAACCTCTTACAAATGAGCTGTTGTTTATTCAGGGGCAGGGATGGTGGGCACACAACCAGGGGGATGTGGGTGTTTGTCAACAGGGGCATGGGGATGAGCTTACAGTGAAGTGTGGCAGAACCTAAGGGGGACGGGGTCTTCAGCCTCCAGCCAGGATGAATTTGAAGATTCAGCCTTTACACATTCATGCAGGAGGTGCTGGAAGCATCCCATCCTCACCGTCTAGCTCCCTCCAGGCAGAGGAGTTTGCAGCTTGCATTGTGAGAACCTTGGCTTGGAAAGCAGAGCAGAGCCACGGAGTGGGAGAGATCCCTCGTGGTGGCCCGGAGACAGGTGCCTGGCCAGGATGGGGGAGCGTGGCAACAGGCAGTGGTCTCCCCAATAGGTCCTCCCCGTGTTCTCACCAGCTGTAGGTGGGATGTATGCGTGGGTGATTAAGGAAGTAAGGAAACAATGTGAATGGAAGACCACAGAACCAGGGCTGAGATCGGCATCCTTTGCTGTACGTCCTCCCCCACCCCCGTGTCAGAAGCTGGCTGGGCCTGGAAGGAGGGGTGGAAGCAGTGAGGCCAGGCCAGCAGGAGGGTCTACCTCAGGCGGGCCTCCCCTGGGCTGGCCCGGGTTCTGCCTCTAGTTTCCAGAGAGCATCTAGGTGCAGGAGCCTTACCGCTCACTGCTTGCCCGGCTGCCGACCACTTACCCTGCAGGTTAGCCCAGGCGCAGCCTTCTGGAGGAAGCCTGCAAAGCCAGGCCAGGGGCCTGGGCACAGTAACTGGTGACAGACACCCACCTCAACAAAGAATCCCCCAAAGAATCCCATGTAGAATGATACCCGTCTCGTGGCTGCCAAAATTTCACAGGCAATTGGTTGCTTCTATCCTCCTCCTCTCCCTCCCCTTCTAGCAGAAAGGGCACGTCCAGCGGCAAATCCCAGCTCTCTGCTCTTCACTGTGGCCGCAGGCAAGTGGCTTCCCTCGGCTGAGTCTCTGAGCCCTTGTCCTTAGTACAGGCTTGGGACTTGGCCTCAGGACCTCAGAGGGTTTAGGAGGACATGGGAGATGACGCACGTCGAGTGCTTAGTTCTGTCTTGGGCACACGGTGCGTGCCCGACGTGTGTGAGCTGCCCCCTGCTCTTGGCTTGGGCTTTGCTGATGAAGGGTGCAGGGGAGTCCCAGACCATATTTGAGGGAAAAGAAGAGCCTGCTCCCCCTGAGATGAGCCTGGGTCACCTATTCATTTCTTACTGTTGACTTGTTTACGTCTGTCTCAGCGTGGGTCTTGGACAGCCCGACTCTCAATTGTGGGGCAGTGCCTTGGTTTTTGAAGGCATGCAGATAAAATTCCAATTTGAAAGACACATTAGGAACTCTGACCCCCAAGAAACAGGTCGTAGGAGATTTCTCCAGCCACCTGTTGTCCCCTTAGGGCTTAGACATCAGGGCTGAGAGAGAATCAAAGCCTTGGACCCAGAGGCTGAACCTTTTCTGAATGGGCGAGTTTGGAATTGACTTAACCTGAGTCAAAAATGGGAAGAACGTAGACTGACTTCATCAATTCTAAACCCAAACACAAAGTAAAGTTTTAACGGAACTGCAAGTAAAATCAAAGTATTTCTCTCTTTCTCCCTCCCCACCACTCCAGTACAAATACAAAATACATTCTGTCAGTCCAAATTGGGATACAAACATACAGGATTTGATTAGAATAAAAAACCAAATGATCACATTGTTTTCCTCAAACTCTGTTTATCGTGTTGCAACATTATGTTCAATGACATGAAGGGGAGAGCTATCTTCAGAGCTCAGAAGGAGCCCTTGAGATGTTTATGCTAAAAATATTGTCCCTCTAAACATGGACAATGTGGAGAATCGGAGATTCCTTGGCCTCGAGGTTTATGTCATATTTGAAGTCCCCTGGATATGTAAGCTTGAGCCAGGCTCTGAGCCTCCATGTCTTCATGCATGCCTGTCTTACAGCTTGGTCCTTGTGAGTGTCAAAAGAATTAATTAGGAAAGATCTTTGTAGACCGTGACATGTAACGCAAGTAGGAGGGCATCTTTGCATCTTCGGGGGCATGTGCATGGCCACTGAGGGGCACATTGAGGCACCCCTGGGAGCAGTGCAGCAAGGGCGGTCTGACCCCCAGGTCAGAGTGAGAACAGCTGACTTCCCCTCCCAGCTGGGGGTTACTACTGCCTGGTGGGCCTTCTCTCCTCCAAGGGATGGTTCTGGGAAACAAACAAGAAGTGGCCCAGTTCCTTGTGTCTGGTGCACTAGCCATCTGTCTCTGCTTTGAGTCTCCCTCTGCCGGCTCATTTTCCTAGGTAGGGAGAGGTGGGGTCTGCCCCTGTTTGTGGTAGGAAGGACCTCCCCTCGAGAGTGGTGCAGCTGACCAATTTACTGGCCCTTTTAGCAGCTTATTCATTCATTGAAGTCATTCTGTAAGTATTTATTGAGCACTAGAATATGCCAGCTCTGGGATGAGTCCTAGAAATAGAGGTGAGCAGGAAGAGACATGGCCCTGCCCTCAGATTACAGCCTAGTGGGGGGCACAGTTGTTAATCAAAAATGCTAATAGGTTTCACTTGCATTGTAGTAAGAGCCACAGAGGAGACTAAGAGCTGTAAGAGAGTTGAGTTTAGGGAGGTGTGACCTCATCAGGATGGTCAGAGGTTTCTAGTGATGACCTAGCCTAGCCTTTATTCCTCTTTCACCCCGTCAGGTTGCAATGCTGTTTCTCCTTTCTATAAGGTCTTATTCTGTCTGCCACAGGGGAAAGAACCTGGGAAACGAATGTCCCCCAAGGTGTCCATTGATTTGGCCTAAAGAAGTTGCTCATAGTATCTCATAGTACAAAGTGTCTTCACAATTTTGAGGGAATGACACAGTCACTCAGCTGACACATGTTTATTAAGCCCCATGGTGGACATCTGCTGCTTTCTGACCACCCAGCGTCCTTTCACTGTACCGATAACATCACCCTTATTTCCTACAGGGACTTGACCTCCCTCCATCACGTATAGCTTTTGTGGGACTATAAACCCAGGTGGCTTGGGCTGCTGTGTCTGAGGAGTGGGGGCTCCAAACCCAAGCAAGGCTGTCACCCTCTCCCAGGACTTGAAACTGGGGGAGTGGCACCAAAGTGGAAAATTGTTTGGAGCTAGTTCACTTCTGGAGGTGCACCTGATGAGCTGGCCGAACAGTTCCTGCGTCCTGGGCCCTGGAGCTGCCCTGCTCCCCGCTGTTGCCAGGACTGGTCTCCAGGCACTCTCTGACTGTGAGCGGTCCGCTCTGCTCTCCCAGTAAGGACCCTTTTTTTTGCTCCTTAGCCTGAGCTGGTTTCAGGTGCTTGCAGTCAGAAAACCCTAAGAAGCTACGTACCTTCAGGTTTTGTGGTGTTTTGCGTTGTACAAAGGGCGTGTGTGTGTGTGTATGCATGTGTTGTGCCGTGAAGTAAGTTGGGTAGGTGGTGCTTTCTTCATTTTATTGATGAGAAATCTGTGCTCAGGGAAATTAAGCTCAAGGTTGCAGAGCTAGTTAGGGTCAGCGTTGGGTTTCAAATTAATTTCTCCTGGCTCTCAATCTTCTGCTTGTTCCTCCAAGTCTGGCTTCTAAGTGACAAGATATGCGTAAGTCTTAGGAGCACACGCATGCCTAGGTACTGTGAGAGGTACAAAGAAGCCATAGTAGCTTCCTGCCTACAAGGAGCTTATGATCTAGTTGAAAGTAAAAGACGTGCACATGAACTCAGCATCTATGCCTGCAGGTGTCAAGTGTCAGGTTGGTGGCAGAGGCGATGTGTACTAAGGGCATTCAGAAAAGAGAGAGGTTATCAGGAAAAGGGAAGGGAAGGAAGGCTTTGCCAGGAAGGTGGGACTTGGAATGAGCCTTCAAAGACGGATAGAATTTAAGTAGGTTGAAAGGAGGAGGGAAAACATGCTAAACAAAGTGTCCAAGTATGGAGGACAGGATGCAAGACATGGTCAAGTGCAGGGGCGTGAAGACCCTTCCGGTTGGAGCAGAGGTTGATTAATGGTGGAATTTGAGGAATCGAATAAGATTGATGATGAAAGTGTTGGGGTCAGGAGCATGTTGCTGGTAGTTCACTGTTACACAATCAAAGGCACCCAGGTGTAGCTGAGGCTGCTAGTGATTCCCCACAATTTATGCTCTCCTGAAATAAACCCTCCATTTTTAGCTGGTACAGGTTACTGGGAAGAAGGCTACATTTCTCAGTCCAGTGCAACTAAGTGTGTTCATTTGACTCTGCTCTGACCAATGAGATAAGCAGAGGAATCATAGGGCGTCTTTGAGGTAGCTTCCAAAAACAACTGGTGTGTGTCCTTTCCCTCTTCCATGTCACTTTCCTCTTTCTGGCTGTAATGCAGATGTGATGGCTGGAGCTGGAGCAACTATCTTAGGTCATGAGATGAACTTGTGAATGGAGGCTATACATGGTAAAATAACAAGATAGAAGCAGTTTGTATCCTGAGGGCTTCTGGGACCCAACTGCTATTCTAGCCCAGAACATAGATCTGTGTCCTAACATATATATATATATATGCATATATACACACAAAATAAAGTTCATTCTTTTTTTAAAGCTAGTGTTGTTTTGTGTTTCTTTGACTCACACAAAATCTAATCCTAACTGATAAGCAAAGCCCAACTCAGGAAGAAATCTTAAGCCTATTTTGTTCCTCTCATGCTACTAAGGCAAAAGTGAATAGTCAAGACAATATATTGTTAGGTGATGGGAATCAACTGAGGTAAGAGACAGAGGGTAACGTGATTATCTTGTGACTTTAGCCTCTGTATGTAGATGCTCTGAAAGCACAGATTTTAGAACTGGGTCCTCTTATCACTTAAAGAAAAGGAGGTCTAGGTGGTTTGTTAATTTTCACACCTTGTATCAAAAAACTTCTCTAAATAGTCTACATATATTTGGGTATCTACAGCCAATGTGGAATTTGGTCAGACTACCCAGCTTCCTGAGAGAATGAACAGATAATTCTATATATACTGTTCCCTATATAAAGTCAGTATTCTGTACATACTGAGTATGTAGTATATACACACATGTATTTACAGTATTTACCTATGCATATGTGTGTGCATGGTATGTATGCATGTGTATGCACACACATGTATGTGTACACACACACACACACACACACACACACACATACATACATACTTTGAGGAGATCTGGCCAGAAGTCACACTCTCATGGCTGGCCAGGTATTTTCTTTTAATCTTAACTCTAAGCTATAATTTGGACAAAGGCAGAGAATGATTCTAGGTGTGCACTGGGGATCCAGGAGAGATGGGAGTTAAATCAGAATGTTCTTTTCATCTCCTACGATATGGAGAATGCTGCTTCTAACCCTCTGCTATTATTTGGGGGATCTCCCCCCCAAATAATAGAAAA